ATTTTTATAAACGCTTTATATTAATGATCATGGGCCTATTTGCTCAATACTTTAATCAAGCTTTATTATTTTCTCTCGTAGCGACTCAAATCATATTATATCTAGACTCTTTAACGCCAGAATATGCATGTATGTCCGATTACAAATTATTTTCGCAAGAAAGTGTTAAGACGGACTCAAGCAAGCTATATAGCTATAACAACAACGGAAAGCAGAGCGTCAGGAGAGACGACACATTCCATTCGAAGAAAGGGGACTATGGGATAACCTTCGCCAAATATGGTCCAATAAAGCTGACATTTGCCCTTTGGTTGTATTTTGTAATACTCATGCTAAAAAGTGATTCTGTGAATTTCAGTATGATAAGTCACGGGGTTTTCCATTTATTGCGTTAACAAGTCTTGCATTATAAATTTTTATGTATGACAGAAAAGTGAAAAAGCGGGGGAATTTAAGGAAAATTATTTAAGGGGGAATTTTTGGCTATTATAGTTGTGACTGTTTTCATTCTTTTCTATTTTTGGTGTATACTAGTTTATGTATAAACTACATATACTGTATTTTTCTTTTGTTCCCTCAAAGAGAGCACATAATAGTTAATACTATAAGAGATTTGCCTCCTTTTCTTTCCTTTGTATAAACCTTGCTTTAAAAATTCCAGTTCCGGGGGAATCTGTCTAGTGCGGACAGCTCCTACAATTTCTTTGTAGAATAAAAGAACTATATTATCTCGTGATTGATAGATGCCAATCAAAGCTGTCAAATTTGACAGTTTGGTTGTCGATAAAGTAAACATACGTCAATCACATCCATACCGCCAAAGACCGCGTATCGCCTGTGATTGATAGGTGTCAATCAAAGCTGTCAAATTTGACAGCTTGATTGACGGATAATTAAACAAACCTCGAGCACAATCATCCTGCAAAGGAGCTTTTACTTCCTGTGATTGAGAGGTGCCAATCAAAGCTATTAAAAGTGGATGGCTTGATTGGCAACTATATAAACAAACGTCAATCATCATACTGGTGATCAAGTATAGCTGTCGAACAATGAATAAGCGGTGGAGAGCGGACTGTCCAAAAGATTTTTTTAAATAAGTAAATTAAAATATAGGCGAGAGGAGGTAAAAGAACTATTCGGGCGTTAGCTAGTTGAGTCATTAAAAGTACACAATATACAAGAAACTAAGGACTTAATGTGTTCATCATATTTTAGTCACATTCTGTTTATAATGATTGACTTTTGTGAAATTGCAGGTAGGAAATAATTTTCACCCCATTTGCAGTATTTTTCTTTTCATTTTTTATTTTCTTATCTTTCTTTCATTCTTTTTATTTATATATTTACATGTATTATTGATATATTTATTTATGTTTTTGTTTATTAATTTTTGTTTACTTGTTTGCTTGTTTCCAAAAATATGTTTTATATAATTTAGTTCTACCAGATTTTAAATTACATCAATTCCCTTCGTTAGTGTGCCATGAGTTCCGCACACCGCTGTGGTGAGACTGTGTGGAGTTGGTTGAGTACACGATCACAAAGAACCTCACCCCTGAAATTCTCGTGGAATTCGACATGCCAAGTGATCAGCCCGAGGCCGAGGTTAAATATGCCACGATGAGTCGCTCCACTTGGAGAGTTCGATTTTGGCTATAAAAGGAAATAAGCGTCACACCCACTTTCCACATGAGAGGGTTATTTATGAATTGGTAATGATTGCAGAGGTGACTTAGACTTTTACATCAATTAAGACAGTTTGAAGAATTATCCTTCTTTTCTTCCAAAAGTGAGCTTTACACGAAAATAACTAAAGTTTATTCATATTGAAATATAATCAGGAAATTAAAAATAAAGCCTTATACAATTTTGGCATTTGCTGGGCATTGGGTATATTTTGCGATGTTTATAGAAAAACTCAAATGTTTACTCCATTTTTTTCAGCTTTTCTTGTTTTACTTTAAATTCAGAAATATAGTCAGTGTCGTTACTTATAATTGAAGCAGCGTATTTGTTTACCGCGCTAACCTCCGGACGTCATTGATAAGTAAATAAAGAGTATAGACATGTGCCATAAACAGATATTTTTTCAGTTTTGGGTGCTCCGTGCTTAAGTTTTAAAGTCTCGGTCTTACATTTCTATATCAGCAGGCAGATTTTTTATTATTAAAATAAATCCAAGCTACACTTGTGGTTGGAGACTGTTCAATTTAGGTGTTTAGAAGATTGAGAGCAAAGGAAATCCAAAAAAATCCCCAAAAATGCTAGTCTGCTCTGCGCCAGTATAGCTCTGTAGTCCCACCTTGCTGAGGGACAGATTTTACTATGTATTGGAGACTCCAAGCACAGAAGTTAGAAACCTGGGTGTAATTTTCAACAACAAATGTGACATGACATCACACATTAACAAAGTATGTAAATCATCATATTTTAGTCTGCAACGAATTTCTATGATTCTTCACCTTATTGACAGCAAGCAAACAGTGCTACTCATCCATGCATTTGTGACCTCTAGACTCGATTACTGCAACAGCCTCTTGTTCGTAATACCTAACTGTCAAATGGAAAAAAACTTCTGTCTTTTCAGAATTCAGCAGCTCATCTCCTTCGTAAAACTCAGAAATCCGACCACATTTCACCAGTTCTCCGCTATCTTCATTGGTTACCAGCCTCTCAAAGAATAGTTAATAAGATTTTACTCTTGACTTTTAACATTTTAAAGGGCGACTGTCCATTTTATATTAACAATATGACAGAACTTTTAACTCCTCTTAGAACTCTTCATTCCAGTGGTCGATTTCAACTCAAGTGAAGCGATACCAAAAAGACTCTAAAAACATATAGAGTTTTGAGATTCAGGCCTACCCAACTACCAGACTCGGCACCTAAGGATCCTGAATTAACCGGTATATCGGACCACGCTACCCGTTTTCAAGGTGTGTGTCAGATCGCATTTCGGAGTATCATACCCCAGAATAAATTTTGTAGCACGACTGCGGGCTCATCCACGCTCGGCTGAACAACCTGAAACTGTACTCTTACTTTAGAGTACTCTATTTTATTGTCTCTATGGGGGTATATGGGAACTTTACGACATTCGGTTTGAATGTTTTAACCACTTTTGATAGGGCTTTTTTGCATTGTATTAGATTAATGTGGCAGTCTTAGGTTCATCTAGGTGGCTTTCAAATTTATGCGCCCGGTTTTAAAATCATATAGCGATTTTACGACAATCGTTTACTATCCAATCAAAGTGACAGCCGAGCATGCCAGGGCTCATCCTGTCGGTGTTCTGGCTGATACTCCGAAATGCGATCTGACACACACCTTGAAAACGGGTAGTGTGGTCCGATATACCGGTTAATTCAGGATCCTTAGGTGCCGAGTCTGGTAGTTGGGTAGGCCTGAGATTGCTGCACCAATTTTATGCTCTAATTTTACTAACGTAACAAATGTTACTGTTTTAAAAAAGAATCAAAACACCTTTTTTTTTTAGGAATATTTTGGTTAACTTTTATCTCTTAGTTTCTAATACTTCTATGTTAGTTTTTAATAAATCTTTGTAGTTTTAATTTTTATACGAAAGTGTTAACTGCGCTGAGATTCAAGTGTAGCGCGGTTTTAAGAAATGTATTATAATAATAATAATAATAATTATTATTATTATTATTATTATTATTATTAAAATCATTAATTTACAAATCACAGTAAAGAAAACTTAAATCATATCTCACTGATAATGCAAATCGAAAATCCTGATAATCACGAATCACCGAGTATAATACTTCGTTTCACAAAGGGGAAAGAATAAAAAGGCACATTCACGAGTCACGGGAAGGGGGGTCTTCACAGATCATTATAAATGATATGAACATTTCACGCATCTCGGGGGAAATAAAGTGGCTTTAACAGGAAACAAAAATACGTATAACGAATGGGACTCCTTTAGTTAAAAAGTTTGAAAAAACATAATAATAACAGCGATTCTTATTCAAAGGCATTTGGGGCGTCAGGCAAGAAGCCAGCACTTGACTTTTATTCACAATAAATGAAGCACTTTAATAATTACTGTATTCCAATACACCAATATCTGACTTCTGAATTATAATTTTTAAAGTAAATTCTTTTTCTAAATTTTTTTTATTAAACTTAAAAAATAAACAATACATTTAACTATAGTCAAATACGTACGTAAACACTAATACTCACATACCCTACCATGCTGCTATTACTGACAACTTCACTTTTGTCTTTATATTCCAATATGTTCGTGCTTAAATACAATAGATACTGGTATATAGTTCGAACTCCTGGGAATTCACATGAAAAGTAAATTTACTTTTGACAAAGACGGTGCTTTTTTGGTTACTTGCAACTTTTAAAGACAATGATCCTGATTTAATTAACTTTTACACATGTATTATTGAAAGCATTTGAGCACCTGGTGTTTCAGGCCTACAGTGGAGGAACGGCAGAAAAAAAAAACATTTCAATGTTATTAACATCGCCAGTAAAAAAATTGGGAGAGAACTCCTCCAACTAGATGGTATCATGAAAGACAGAATGGAGAAAACAACAAAATGAATTATAGGGATCCCACCCATTCAGCAAATTTCTCTTTTTTATTTCTCATCAAGCAATATTAGAATGCTGATTTCAAGGGCAGTAAATGTTTTTAAGTAGTTTTTGTCTAAGTATGTAATATTAATTCCACTTTTAAGCACTTTTAGCTTATAAACATTATAATATTCAGTTCTTTATTTAGTTTTATATCTCAAATGAAAACAATTTCCGATATTTATATTTCAATACTTTTATTGGCTGAATTAATTTTTATCTTATTTCACTAATTAGAAAAGAACAAGATAAACATAGAACACCCTAAGCTGGACTTTCAGGAAATTACCAAAATAAAATCCATTGAACGGCCCTACTGTTAGAGATCTCGGTAATTTATTGGTAGACATTGTCCACAGCTGCCATAAGCTTTAAATTTCTTCCCTGGAAAGTAGATGATGTAAAGCATAGTACATTTCTCAAGACAAAACTCATCTCATGTTTTCCAAATGTGTCGGGAATCTAATCCGCAAAGCAGGCGACGACTGTACCCCTAAACTACAGAGGCGTGCACTTAATACAAGCTATAGGCATGCCGAGATGGGCCTCTATATACTATCGACCCACTTCCCAATAATACCACCCTGGTAGCCATACACTTTTCTACAAGTGTGTGCAAACATTTCGAATAAGTTGCAAATACAAATTTCATGAAAAGTAACAATCTGCAGATTCATTTAAATTACACATCTCGTTCCCCTAGGCCTGCTACTTACAGCGATGAGTTTAATAACCCACTTAGAGACAGTAGTTTGACATGTTCAGTAACATATGATCAAAGTATTCTATGTAAGGATTATTAAAAATGTATATAAATATTTCGAAATAGAATCAGATGCGTACGTTCTCTAAAAATTGTATGTATATTTTCTTTAATTAGACTGAAAATAAACATTACAATGTACAATACAATACAAATCACTTCTCACATACACATTTCTCAAAAACATATGCATACATACATATCCGTATATTCGTTCTACCATGTCACTTTATTGCATGCTACATGTAACTACTGTATAAAATAAATACATATAAAGACAAGCAAAGCATTATTTTTCAGTTCAGAAAAAATTCGATGTCCTTGGATTACGGATGCCCTCCATTTTTTTATTTTCTGTAAATGTATCATTTTACCAGAGAAATTAGCAGATTTATTTCCTTCTCATCATTTCCGAGAATAATACCCGATGCATAAATCTGAACATTGGCTTCGTTTTCTTCCTAATCCAGTTTTTCGAGTTTTTCACAACATCAAACTTTAAGATATGTATATTATCTTTTATTTTTAAGAATTAAACGCACTGGACATCACTTGATTTCAATTGACATAAAGTTCAGTAGGTGTGCCAGACTTTTAAGCTGCTTAATCTGAACTCAAATTTAGTGAGAATTCCCTCGGAAATGGGTCAACCCTGCTAGATCAATCTAGGTATGGAGGGGTCCAAGTTAATCTACTGGTCAAGACTTGTATTTGATGAACTGAACCAGATTTGTCCTTGCCGTCATGATGATAGGAAGGTGGGCTCCCAGGCTGCTTTTCTGTTGATGAATCTGGAAAAATTTCACAATATTCTTTCAGAAGATACCCATTGCTTTAACTGATCAATATGTCTTGAAATAAAGATATTATTACACCAGGGGCGGATTGAGGTAGTCTTCTGAGTCTTCCGGATGATGTTCAGATTTTCAAGTTTTTATTGACAGTTATCTAATTTCTTCTGTCGGAAGACAGTCAAAAATGGAGGATGGATCAGCAAAGCTAATTTGGAAGAATGTCACAAAATAGCTCTGGATCCGCCCCTGTGCACTGTAAAAGAATATATTAAATACCCAACTGCAGAAATCATTTTAGTAAGCAAAACATGATGCTTTTTTATATTGTTCACTAAGCAGATGATGGAACCCGTACTGCTGATATAGGTCATTAATTGTTTTGATAAAAATAAATAAATAAATAAATAAATAAATAAATAAATAAATAAATAAATAAAAACCACAGGGAGCAGTTTTACCTCAGCTGTCAGCTGTGGTATCATATGGTCTGGAGTATGTCTGTCATCCTGATCTCCATGACAACAGGTACAGATGATCACCGATGGCGTCCAGTCTCTCAGTAACCACCCACAAGTTCTGGTCCTTGCTCACTTCTTCCACAAGAAATGTGCAAAAATTCTGAAGTGAAAAATCAACTAAACAACAAATCTGATTGAAGATTAGCAGGGACTCTTTCTGAGTGCAAACAGCGTAAGTGAATGACATTCCTCCTCTTGTTTCCAACATACTTGCATAATCAGCAGTTATTTTGTATTCCATTCAATGCCTACAGAGGCGTGTCATTCAATTAAGCTGATTGCACTTGACGAGAGTCCAAGCACAGAGTTGGATCACTCTAAGTTGACCTATGGTGTCTGTGAGAATGAGCCCATAGAGATCAGAATATATATAGACACAAATACAGTGCCTGTCTAACAAATATCTTCTACGCTGTATGAAGCAGATTCCATGGCATCTATAGACAAGAGAGGTGACACATGAATTGTAAAATTCTTTTTTAAAAATCAGATATTTTCACCTCAACAGGTATGGTCTGTCTATAATAGAAGTAAAATTTGTTTTTTCATTGTTCCAGATCTTTTGGTTTGGTTTGGTTTTCTAACCAGCCATCAATACTACTGTGTCTGTACTCTTTTAATATTTTAATCTATCAACTGAACACAACCATTCATTAACATTGGCAATATGAGTAAACCATCATCATATTTACATAAAACTCAAATAGGTTATATAATATTGATTCATATAATATTAATTCACGTTATAGGAGAAAATACTGTCTATTAGTACATCAACCTTTAGCCATAGCAAATATTAAGACTGGGTTCTCATACCTAGATTGATCTAACATGATCGATCCATCTCCAATGGGTTTCTCGCTCAATTGCTTTCAGCGGCTTAGATGTCTTTAGCCATAGCAAGTATTAAGACTGGGTTCTCATACCTAGATTGATCTAACATGATCGATCCATCTCCATTGGGTTTCTCGCTCAATTGTTTTCAGCGGCTTAGATGTCTACTGAAGCTGCTAAACGATAATTACCTCCTAACAGGTTCAGTAGGCGTAGCTGCTTAAGTTGATTGCAATTTATGCCCCTATTTCACACAGACCACGAATCCCACAAATCGCCAGGAATTGACAAATTTCAGGATTTGTGGTTAAATCGTAATCAGTTCGTGAAGTTATTAACAGATTCATATATATTCGTAGTCAATTCTTGCAATTCTTGATCAATCATGAACTGATTACGATTCAACCAGGAATCCTGAAATTCGTGGTTGAATCGTAATCAGTTCGTGAAGTTCTTAACAGATTCGTATATATTCGTAGTCAGTTCTTGCAATTCTTGATCAATCATGAACTGATTACGATTCAACCACGAATCCTGAAATTTGTCAATTCCTGGCGATTCATGGGATTCGTGGTCTGTGTGAAATAGGGGCATTAGTGAGAATCCCCTTTGGAGATAGATCAATCCACAGTTAGTATAATAGGGTCTGGGAATGGTCCCTAGGGCCACATCACTTTTCTAAATGACATGACATGCCTGTATCAGTACATGTACCTATCTGGGGTACCTTGACAATATGGCCATGACAATAAATGACATGACATGCCTGTACCAGTAAATGTACCTATCTGGGGTACCTTGACAATATGACCATGACAATAAATGACATGACATACCTGTACCAGTACATGTACCTATCTGGGGTACCTTGACAATATGGCCATGACAATAAAAAGTTAGGGTGTTCTATGGAGAGAGGATTAAGTGAATAAATATTAAAAATGAAGTTATCAGACTAAGTGTTAGTTTTATCTGAGGGTGTATATTTACAATTTAAAAAAAAGGGCATAGACTTCTAATAGATGTGTTTTGAACTAAAAATGATTGTATATCATTTAGAAATAGTGGAATCAATTATGGTAAATGACTCAGGAGTCTCACTAGATTACTGTCAGCTTAGCCGGCTTAAATGTCTGGCCCGCCTACTAAAAGCTGAACGGGGGTAAATAACTTCCGTGCACGCTCGGCTGATAGCAATTTAGTGTGAACCCTCAAGGAGTTAGGTCGATCCAGATGGATTGATCTAAATCTGTGGAAATGCAGTCAAAAAGCAGATAATAAAGATGCAGAAAATAGGCCATTTTGTAAATTTTAATGCAATAAATAATTGTGGAATAACAGCACAGTCAATCAACACTGAATTTTAATTGTGCACAAAAGGTACATGTAATATGGTCAATAAAATTAGAGTTTAAAGACCATGAGAGTTCAAATTCACATAATGAAAATCCCAATATGTGAAACATGATGACAGTATATAAAATAATATTACATAATGTTTAAAGACATAAACACCAATACAACTGCTTGTGTGGAAATACAGAAAATGTACAGAGCTTCAGGTGGATGTGAGTAAGAAGTCACACTTTGAAATGTGTTTAAAAAAATCAAAAAAGAAAACATAACAAAAAATATTCCAGTAAAGCTGCCATTCAAACTTTTAATCTAGCTGTATTAACATGATATAAATAACCCCACTGAGTTTGAGGATAATAAGGCACTGTTATTCATCTACAGCATTAATGTTGGCATTACACAAAATATTTTTTTCTTTTGTAACTTATTTGCAATATTAAATAATAATAATAATAAATAACAATATTAAATAACATTTACCTGCATATAATTATCACCGATTCCTAATTATGTGACAATGTTAATTTAGGCTTTTACAAAGAGTTACTGTATCTTGCAGAGAGCTAAACCTATGGAAAACTCAACGTGTGTTTTATGTAATCTCATTTAATGGCCTCTTGAAACTTAATTAGGCAAGATCGTTCTGAATTTAGCTTACCCAAGGGACAATTACAGAATGACCATCAATTGTATACATATAACACAAAGGACTATGTAAGAAATGAAATTTTCATAAAGAACTAGCTGCATTGATTCTGAAACAGAAAACAATCACACTGATTTTCCAACACAAGCTGCACCTCAGTCCAATGAATCTTTTCAGTTAGTTTGAGAATCATAAGTAACTACCCTCTACCAGGGCCGCAGTTATTATTCTGTGGACATTCTTGCCGAGGCAACCCTGTAAAGTTTGTCCAGATGGGAGCAATTAAATCTGCATGCATGCATGCAGATGGCATTGTACCTGCTCTGCAGAAGCTCAATGAGAGCTGGGCTTCACGTAGATGTGATTACCGCTTATTACGCAACCTGCCTGGTGTTGTCTGTCTGCTAAGGGGCCATTTTTATTGTCACAGATGAGCAATTAAATGTCTTGATTACTGTCAATGGGACTTGGCAAGGATGTTAAGTGACAGTACCTGAGTAGTTATGCAAACAACTATGCAGCAACTTTTTCAACTTTCATGCAATATTACATAATGCTTAACAGCATATTGACCAGCAATTTTTAATGATAAAATAAAGTATCATGGATATTCAGAAAATGTGACTAGCAAAGGTCTTCAAGCCCATGGAGGTTCAAAGTCACACCTTGAAAATATCAATATGTGAAAACAAAAACCTGTATAACTTCCAGAAAAATCAACCAATCAGACTTGTTTTCCAAAGCTGTATTTAAGTCTTGTGTTTCTTTCCTGTAAGTTTGAGATGGGTTAGTGACATGATTCTCCTTTAATGGTCACTATTGAGGCAATGCCCAAAATAGTTTTCTTCAATTTTGATGCAATATTACATAAAGATTAACAGCATAATGACCATAGTAACTATGGGCCTATCTCTGGCAGTTTTGGAGATACAAAGGAGTAAAATGGTGTATCTTTGCTCATTTTGGAGTTACAGTAATCACCCAAACCCAATATAGAAGTGCAAATGATGTCACAGACATGTTCCTACAAATATGTAGTGTACAGATTACAAACTATGTTTGATTATTTTAGGATCCCACATAAAGAAGTTTGTATTAAAGTTTCACTTTCCTGGAACCACGAATAACAAAAAAAATTAATCATCTTACCCCAAAAAGGAACATACGTTACTGTCACAAATGCAAAACGTCTAGCTGTGGAAACGTTTTTATCACTTTGAAAATTCAATCATCACAGGTTTTGTTCTTTAATTTATCTCCTACAAGTATAACGTTGTAAAAAAATATGAAAATCTTCTGTTTAGAGCAGTTAATTGTTTTTTAGCGACTTTAATTTGCTTGTCACTAAATATTTAAAAAACGGGAAAAATACACCCTACCGACAGTAAAATAAGCATTTAATAAATTGTTTTTCCCCTCGTGCTCCAAATATTATATCTGAAATGTTAAACTATCATGGAATCACTATATATTTTTTCGGTCAGCAAAAGAAAACATTGTTTTCTCTTGCACCTAGTACTTAAACAAACATTTTGTCAATTTTTCTAGGGAACATACGTTACCTAGTATTACGTAGCCATGACACAAAGCCCCATTAGTTACAGTTTAAATATTTATAAAAACGTCCTTCAAAATATAGAAGAACAGGTTATAAAATTTAAAATTAGGTGGCCTGGAACATATGTTACCGGAACACACGTTACCAGTGAAAAACTATTTGTGCACGAAACTGGCTCCGAAAGAAAAACTAACTCCTGTATGAGATGTCAGGTGGTTCTTTCTGTTGTCTGCTCTAGCTAAAGATTACATGAGGTGAGCTAAAAGTGTCAATAATCCATAAAATCCTCAGTGATGATGTAGGTGAAGTAAATGAATTTGTCATAATAAAAAATTTAATTCAAATACAGAAATGAATGTCAAAGACAGAAATAAATGTCAAACAAGACTATGCAAGGAAAAAAATAATTGCCAACGCGTGCAGTGAGCGCAATGCCAAATACATTGATACCAGATGGAAAATTATCATTATATGTACAATCAAATTATTTTTCAGAAAATAGCGAAAACGAGAGCTGAACGTAAAAAAAATTATCGATCTTGTAAAAAGTAAATGAGGGTGACGCGCATATCTAGAAAGGGGAAGAAAACGAGTTCAAAAATACTATGTACCCTCCGCCTCCTTAAACAACCGCGAAAGACGAAAGAGAAAAGCAAAGACTAAATCACGAAAACGAAGACTTCACCACAGGAAAGAAGAGCTCCTA